CTATGTGCTGTAAGTTCTGCAACATGAAGACTGCTTATAGTCTGTTTGGAGACTATTTATCCTATTTTTGTTAGGCAAGTAAAGCTATTATTTGTTTTACCTTCGGTTGCTGTGAGTGACTATTCAGTGGCTTATTCGTTACTAACTTCTGCTGCAGAAATCTAGTCTCCTAACGGGGATAGACTTAACAGGATGGACAACAGCCATCAGCAGCGACACCTTCCACAATCGAATCAACACAAAAAAAACATTACCAAGAGAAATTGCAACCGCAAACCATCCTGAGAATAAGGTGGGGAAAGAAATGCCTGGTTACAAGGGCACATGACCAACCCCCTCTCATTCCTACCTACTCTAGTCAAAGAACAAAATCAGATATGAACATGCATCACGTACCGGCAAAGTTGCTCGCGCAGCTGACCGTAACATCCTGTCCATGTTGAGTCTTGGTCGGAACAAGCGTATTTTGCCATCCACGCCTCGATATGCCTTCATGCCTTCGAACAGCTAAAGGAAGCAGAAGGGAACAGTTGGGAATGACACCTAGAAGCCCAACGCAGGCACCCGTAATTAAAATAAGCAAACTCTAAAAATAAATGCTCGTTCTTTCAAAACATTGCAGAAATAACTGTGTCCGTTTAAAACAAGTCGAAAGCCCATTGTTTTATTTTGCGTCAAAGGACAGGTGGGAAATTTCTACATGACTCCAGATGTGCTAAATAGGAAGAGATCATTTGGACAGCAAGGGAATATTTATTTATTTATTTATTTGACCCGTCTCAGCAAATGCCTCTGGGTGGCTCATGAAATTGAATGGAATATGAACTCAAATGTCCACTAGTCATTAAAGCAGCTGCATCCATTCTAAAAATGGGAGCTCTCACAGCATTTATGTAAGCTTAGATGCAGCTGCTTTAATGAATTGCAGGTGGATGCCAATTGTTTTTTGCATATTAACACGCATTGCTATATAAGTTCAATTTAGAGGATCACTCAACATCTCAGCACATGGGGCTCCCTATCCTAAACTTCCTATTTAATTTCCTGTTAGGATAGTGACTGGTTACTTACACAGCTGTTTAACTATTCAAATGTTGCTTTTAACTGTTAATGGGAAATTTAAGATGAATGTGAATATGAAGCAAATTGGTCGAGATATAACTAAACCACAACAACCCACTAGTGAACGCACTCAAAATGTTTCTGCCTAATCTATCCCAAATCAATCCAGACTTTTGACAAACATTATTGATCAAATCAGACAAAGAAGTGAAAAGTTAGGGGTCCCATCTTGTAGATATCCAGACTCTTCCCCACATTTTGCATGATCACATATCTCAACATTAAAAAAAATATTCCCCCAGGTTGAAATGGATGCCTACAGCTCAGTATGCTTAGAACCGTAACTTTTGCTTATTTCAAGGTGGCACAATGGATAAAATGCAGCAAGGCAGGCTATTTCTGGTTAGTAAAATGAGGAGCCAGATTGTTGGGGCCAATATGCTGACACTAAATCTCTTAGAGAGGACTGCAAAGCACTGTGGAGTGCTATATAAGTCTAAGTGCCATTGCTATTAATTAGGAAATTGCTAATGGTTTTAAAACATCTCAGTATTAAAATAATAATGAAGTCTTGACCTTGAGGCAGGGGACAGGGGTTATCAGTTTCAAATCTATCCTTGAATTCATGAGAGCCAGAAAATTAATTTATTTGTACTGAAAGTTGGGTTCTTCAAGAGCAACAAAGATGATTACAGGACTGGAGGCTAAAACACATGAAGATCGGTTGCAGGAACTGGGCATGTCTAGTTTAATGAAAAGAAGGATGATGGGAGACATGATAGCAGTGTTCCGATATCTCAGGGGCTGCCACAAAGAAGAGGGAGTCAAGCTATTTTCCAAAGCACCTGAAGGTAGAACAAGAAGCAACGGGTGGAAACTAATCAAGGGGAGAAGCAACTTAGAACTAAGGAGAAATTTCCTGACAGTTAGAACAATTAATCAGTGCCTCCAGAAGTTGTGAATGCTCCAACCCTGGAAGTTTTTAAGATGTTGGATAAGATGTTGTTTGAAGTGGTGTAGGGTTTCCTGCCTAAGCAGGGGGTTGGACTAGAAGACCTCTGTTATTCTATTCTAAGTCCTAAACCAAAAAAAATATGAGTATCACTTTAAGCAGCTGGATTTTCCTAGTGAAAAAAAAATGTTCCAGAGTCTAACTTGATGCCACTAGATCAAATGGCTTTTCAAGTTGATTCCTAAATAGTTCTCTGGAATTCTATAGCTTGTATTGTAAAGCAAAGAATATCATTCATGGGTGAACAAATTGAGGACATTTCTGATTTCTACTATAAGCTATAGAATTCAATAATTTGTTTAGTTTTATTTATTCAGTTTAGGCAGACTGACTCTGGGCAGCCAAACTATATATATAAATATCCAAAGCTTGTTTGAAAACTACTTGAGAGTCACCCATGACTCAAGGTTTCTCATCAGTCCAGAACAAGGATTCGGGTGCATTGTCCTAGACAATGATTTCTTCTTGGTTGAGGCAGAAGAAGACATGATCTGGTTCAGTTCTACTAGCAGCACTACTACAGAAGTTTACTTCAAGTAATACTATTATATCCCCCTTTCTCAAAGATTTTGATTTGGATTCTAGACTGCTTAGCTAGCTAGAGTTCCACCAACTTCCAATAAATACTGAAAGAAGAGGGCTCCCTTTGGCTAAAATAGAGTTTGTGTCTTACTCAATTGCAGCTAAGAGTTGGGAAAAAGCTTCTTTTGAGAGGCCTTCGGACTGGTTCAACTGGTTTTCTGGAATCCTTGAACTTCTGCTCCACTTTGATTATGTTTTTGTTTGGTTCAATGAGTTCAGTTTACTAGAGGAACACTGTGTCTTCACTCAGAATGAGTAAGATTGATGGTCTGGCCTTGTGAATCTACAGAGTGTATGGTTATTTTGAGGCTTGCTGAAAGCCAGTAGATCAGTCCATAGAATGGGGATCCACTCTATTATTTTAACCAATTATGTGGATAATCTTAATAGAGCAAAAAACGCTCTTCTGCCCCCCCCCCAGCTCACAGGAGTACTCTATAAGCCTCCTAAAGGCTATGCATTCCCTTTTTTGACAAAAAATGGGCCCGTTTTTGTGAAAATTGGGCTGGTTTTTTGCTTGTTTTTGGGACCCCCCCACCCCCCCAGGAGCAATGTACAAGCCTCCTAAGGGCTATTCATGCCCTTTTTTTGGAGAGAAAAAAACGGGCCCATTTTTGCGAAAAGCGAGTTATTTTTGGGAGGTTTGCAGAGTGCAAAAACTTTTTTTTTTAAATTTGCCTCTTCAAAATCTTGGTGCGTCTTATACTCCAGTACGTCTCATACTCCAAAAAATACGGTAGATCCCTCAACCATTCCTCATGTGATTTAGCCTCCAGACCCTCAATCATCTTTGTTGCTTTTCTCTGCATACTTTCTAGGCTCTCAGCCTCCTTTTTGTATACCGTAAAAAAATTCCAGATGTAGTCTCACTAGTGCAGTATAAAGTGGTATTGTCACTTCATGTTATCAGAAATTGTTAGAATAACAGAGCTGGAAGGGATCTTGGAGGTTTTCTAATCCAATTCCCTACTTAGGCAGGAAAGCACCTGACTAGGTGGCTCAGTGGCTAAGACACTAAGCTTGTCGACCAGAAAGGTCGGCGGTTCGAATCCCTAATACATGTCTCCTATGTGAGGAGGGGGTTGGACTAGATGTCCTCCAAGGTCCCTTCCAACTCTGTTACTATTACTACTTAAAGCTTATACCATTTCACAGATATTTTCATTTGGATCCCAACAGTGAGCAGCTGGGTGGACTGAGGTGGATTTGGTAATCTCAATTGTCCCTTCCAATTCCATGATTCTAGCTATGGTTGATGATGACTTTATTTTTACATGCTTTTCATGGATAACTTTCTTACTATGTCTGAATAATTTGTTTCCCCCGACCCAAAAAAAGAATGCTTTTGAAATCTGCTTTCTCCTCTTAATTTGGAAAATCTTGTATTATTTTGAAAATATTTTTTATACTGAAAGGATAATAGTTTTTTTTTAAAAAAAAAACAAAACCCTAAGAATATGAATAACCGATTATTTTAAAAAGTATTGTTGGTCTCTCAAAGAGAATGATAGGCTAAATAAGTCCTATGAACACCCTCTGGCTTAGAGTCTCCATAAACTTTCCAAAAAGGCTGAACCTCCATAATTTGGGGGATGCGAACAGTCAACACGTCCTCAGAAAGGGCCCCAAATACATTCCTGGATGTCTTACTCCTAATTTCAACTAGCCCTCTTTATTACTTGAATAGGATTCCCCCTTAGGTTACCATTCCATTCCCTCTTCTCTGAAAATACATTCCAGTGAGAGCAATTAATGAATGGCATGTACAATTGTCGCTACTTATTTTATTGTCTCTTTGTTAAACTCCTGTCTCCCCTTTCATTTAGACACTCAGGGTGGCATGCACAATATTTTCCTCCTCCTCTTTGCTGTCTAATGGTGGATCAGAATCTGAATCTTCCATATTTAGCCCAACACCTCAGCCATTACCCTACATTGACTCTCTGCATTTCAACTGTTCAGGTAATGTCAACTCAATAGCAATCTCAAACTACTTAACATGGTCAAGAATCTGATTTTCAGAGGTTTGTGGACAACTGCTGCTTCAGGCTGTCTGCCCCCAGGATCTCTATTTGTGAGCAGACTCATCAATTTTAGGAATATTACGGTAGTGTCAAGTCTTATTTAACGGTGTAACCAATGAAACCAATACTAGAAGAAGAATATATATATATATATATAATTTTTACATTTAAAACAATGCAGTACCGCGAAGTCGAAGTGACCATACATTCACATTATATACAGCTAGTCCCAACCATTAACAATTAGCCTATTTAATACATTGTCTATCCCAGTGTTTCTCAACCTTGGCAACTTGAAGATGTCCGGACTTCAACTCCCAGAATTCCCCAGCCAGCATGCATTCACTGCCTGTCGCTGGCTGGGGAATTCTGGGAGTTGAAGTCCGGACATCTTCAAGTTGCCAAGGTTGAGAAACACTGGTCTATCCTTCTGTCCAATCACAATATATAGTTTGTTCCTTGTCACCTTGTCTTATACCTGTCATAAAATCTGTTCCACACTTCAAAATATTCTGATTCCCCCCCTTTTTTTAAGTTCAAGAGTGAGCCTATCTGCTTCCGCACAGGCCAACACTTTTCTGATTATATCTAGCTCTGATGGTGTATTTTCTTTTTTTCAAGTTATGCGCGGGTTTTGGCTGTTTCTCAGGCTATTTTCCGGCACTCTGTCACCCGCGAAGACCAGCTGGCCGGCATGCAAGTGTGTGCCAGAAACCAGAAGGGCAGCTGGCAATGGAAAGTGTGCCCACAGAGAGGGCTCTACTCTGCTTGGTGCCTCTGGCATACACCTAACCATAGGTTCGCCATCACGGGAATAGGCTATTGAGAAAAATCTAGTTCCCGCATATCTGGAGGGTGCCCAAGACGAGGAAGACTCCACTAGACCATCCCACCAAGCTGGCAAAGGCCAGGTTATCCGAGAGGGGGTCACAGATCACAAAGAAGGAACATTTCACCTCACGTTATACCCACTGTGTATTCATTGAGCCATAGCATTTGGAGCAGTTTCGCTTCCGTCACTCCTCTTGGCTAGAGGAAAACGTGATGCAATGAGGTTTAAAAGTAAACGAAACAATGAAAACAACGGGGGACATATGCAGATGAGAAAAGAAAAAAGAAAAGAAAAAAAAGAAGAGCAGATTCATTGTTAGCAGCGAGGATTTCAGATCACGAGTTTAACAGCAGTAACGCTACTGAGAGAGAGAGAGAGAGAGAATGCCTGAAACTCCAGCGTGGTTCTTTTGCTCTTTGTGAATACATCTAGATCGGGGGTGTCAAACTCGATTTCATTGAGGGCCGCATCAGGGTTGTGTTTGACCTTTGGGGGCACGGGGTGGGTGTGGCCAGCTCGACATAATTGGTGTCGGGGGCACCTGAGCACCCTGCTGGCAAAAACACAGCTCAGGAGGGCCTCGCGCATCCCTCCTGAGCTCCATTTTTATTGGCAGAGGCCCCATGGGCCGATCCTTTGCTGTTTCCAGGGTGGCCCGCGGGCCAGATCTAAGCACCCCCGTGGGCCGGATCTGGCCCCCGGGTCTTGAGTTTGACACCTCTGGTCTAGATCTCCTCAGCCAGAAAGACTGAAAAAAAATTTATCATCGCACCTGCCTTTGGAAGGCGAGATTAATACAGGTAGTCCTCGACTTACGACCACAATTGAGCCCAAAATTTACAATACATTGTTAAGTGAGACAGTTGTGGAGTGAATTCTGCCCCATTTTACAACCTTTCTTGCCACAGTAGTTAAGTGAACCTGTTTAAGTTAGTAACGCAAGTGTTAAATCAATCTGACTTCCCCGTTGTCTTTGCTCGTCAGAAGGTAGCAAAAGAGGATCATGTGACCCCGGGACACTGTGACCGTCATAAATGCGAGTCAATTGCCAGGCATCCAAATTTTGATCACATGACCATGGGGATGCTGCAACGGTTGTAAGGGTGAAAAACAGTCGTAATCACCTTTTTCAGTAATGTTGTAACTTTGAACAGTTACTAAGTGACGTGTCGTAAGTCGAGAACTCCCTGTACCTTAAAATCAGTCAATCAATCAAAACATAAAGGAATGAAAACAAATCCCAGAGGAGTCTTCCCTCCCAAAAAAAGAGAAAAGGGGGAAAAAAGGGTTGAGGTCTAGATTTCTCATCAACATTTTTGAAAAACGCCAGACAAAGTATGACTTTGTTCCATTATTGAGATGCAGTTTTTTTTTTAATCGTTACAGACACTGCAAAGGAGGGAGACGAAAAAAGAAAGGGGTTTGAAAGAATTGCTCCACGTTTTCTCCTCACTTTCTGGCACCCAAAACGTGCCCTTGATTAAGGCTCTAACACAAATGGAATATAACCTGCATTCATGTTTTTGGACTACGATCTAGAACTTTGGGCCCTAGAGGCTTCGATCAGTAACCACGCTGGTTTCTGGCGGTTACCAATTCATTTCAGTACAGGTGGGCAACTTGCTTTCTGACCCATGCACATCTACCTGGCCAAAAGCTCATTCAAAACTTGCCTCGATTTTCCAGAATCCAAAGCATTGAATTATAACTTGTACGCAGTCAAACCATTATGACCTCAGGTGATAGGTAACACTTCCACTACATTGCAAACACATTTTTTTTTTCCTTGCTGGAAGTGTACCATTCATCATTAAATACTCCAGTTTTGAAAATGTTGGGTGTGTAAGTGTAAATTGGCCTTAAATCAGAGTGAAGCTGTCTTTGCATGACACACAAAACCAAAAAAGACTCACGAAGGCATAGCAGGTCTTAAATGAAAAGCCTATAATGTCTGAACACAAAGAATCACCTTCTTTGTACAAAAACCAGAATTTGAAATCAAGGTTTATCGCGAAATTATTAGTTCCATGTTTCCACAAACTTAAAATAGTGGTCATTCCTGGCTTAGGTGGTGTGGTTAGTGTGAAACATCTGATACCCAATCACGAATAATGGGGTTAGGATTTACTACAGCAATCTTAAGTGCTGGACATGTAACTTTTTTTCAGTCTCATCCTAACTTTGAATGGATGGTCATAGATTGAGGACTTCTTGAATATTAAGGAAGATAAAGTATGGTTCTCAGAATTTACTGGGGTTTTTTTGATTAGCTGTACCTTTTTTATTTGTTGCCTTCACTGATATTGCAGTTGTGAGGAACTGGGGAAATGATGAATTCTAAGAATTGTCTCTGTCTATATCCCCATGTTGTGCTGCCAGACATAAAATAAACATAAACTGTATTAGCAGCTATAATAATAAACGACAACAGCCTTAAA